ATATTATGTTGAAACAATAATTTTCGTCGTATAAATTCAATGAAATTTGAAAAAAGAATTTTTTTTTTAATTGAATTTGCATGGAAAATGTACGTCGGGCCTCAGAGGCCCCACTTGCCCGATAACGTTAGGATTTTTACCTGCCCGGTTAAGGGTTAAGCATGTATTTTCATATGTGCTTCTAATGCAGCCTTTGCAACAGTAACAAACTTTTTCTTATTTTCATCCCTGTTGCAAAGATAGCACTCATATCGACGTCTATTACACTCTCTTTCATGTAAGTCTTTTTCAATATTTTGTGAAAATCCAAGACGACACCCTGAACAGTGGAATAGACTATCCTTATGCATGCTCATATGCTTAGTGAGACTACCCTTTTGACTAAATCGTTTCTTACATTGATCACATTGATATGGTTTTTCTCCAGTGTGACTTCGAATATGCCCAGTGAGATAATTCTTACGACTAAATCGCTTCTTACATTGATCACATTGATATGGTTTTACTCCAGTGTGAGTTCGAATATGCATAGTGAGATATCCACTTTGACTAAATCGCTTCTTACACTGACCACATTGATATGGCTTTTCTCCAGTATGAATTCTCATATGAATTTTCAGTTCACTCTTTGCAACAGTAACAAACTTCTTCTTATTTTCATCTCTGTTACAAAGGTAGCACTCATATCGACTTCGTTCACACTCTCTTTCATGTGCTTCTTTTTCAATATTTTGTGAACATCCACGATGACACCCTGAGCAGTGAGACAGACTATCCTTATGAGTTCTCATATGCCTAGTGAGATCACTCTTTTGTGTAAATTGCTTCATACACTGATCACATTTAAATGGTTTTTCTCCCGTGTGAATTCGAATATGCCTAGTGAGATGGTTCTTTTGAGTAAATCGCTTATTACACCGACCACATTGATGTGGTTTTTCTCCAGTGTGTATTCTCATATTTGCTTCTAGTGTTGTCTTTGCAACAGTAACAAACTTCTTCCTACTTTCATCCCTGTTGCAAGCATAGCACTCATAGCGGTGTCCTCTACACTCCCTTTCATGTGCTTCTTTTTCAATATTTTGCGTAAATCCACGGTGACACCCTGAACAATGGAACCGACTATCTTCATGAGTCTTCATATGCCTATTGAGACTATTCACACCACCAAATCGTTTCTTGCACAGATCGCATTGATATGGTTTTTCTCCCGTGTGACTTCGAATATGCACATTGAGATTACACTTTTGACTAAATCGCTTCATACACTGATCACATTGATATGGTTTTTCTCCACTATCAGTTTTCCTATCACTTTTTTTCGAAATTTTTTCTAACTTTTTGTGGGATCTCTGAACGTCCATTTTCTTTTTCTCTGCTTGGCCAGCGATTCCTCTGTTTGATTTCTCTTTGTTTTCATTACTTTTATTTTTTTGAGAAAACCACTTATCAAGTGTCGAGTGACCACTTCTCACATTTCCAGCTACATTCACTTCAACAACAGCTTCGGAAATATTCACTTCGTTCGTCTTGTTTGCGTTATTTTCATCACTGATTTCGCAGCTTGCATCTTTCGATTCGACTCTTCCCTGAGATACTTGTGATTTCTTCCCGTATGGCTCA